ACTGAACAGCCTACAGTATTTTTACAGTCTTTATTTTACAGTTAAAATAAATGTTTATCAAATAAAGTCTAACGTTACAACTAATCCTGGATCCCTTTTAAAAGCACCAACTTTCAAATTATTGAGACTAAATTCCTGAGCATCACAGCTGCTAGGTACCAGATTAAAGGCAATTTACACAGAGCTCCTCACAGTTCAGATTATTTATGTTAATGTGTGGAAAGGAGGAGTGACAGCACGTCTTTGCCTCTGTCATTTCCCCCCCTGTAGCAGTGGGGAAGCACCGCAGCTGAATCACCGCAGGAAATGTTGCCAAAGCTCTAATTATAAACAACAGATTTATCCGGGTCAGCCTCCCTGACAAGGCTGCTCGTTTGTAAACGCAGAGCCCACAACAGATGGGTAGTGTCTGTGTAATACATAACAGAATCACAGGATTGATTATTACATTTATTGTATTGGAATATTCTCAGTCCAAGCACAAAACCCATCGCTGATAGACGGCAAAAAGCAGACTTTACCGTCATTTCTCCTGGTTCAAACAGGACAGATGATAAAACATCATCATCATCATTGTTTATTTATAAAGCACAATAAAAACCAAAGTGCTGTACAGGAGCATAAAACAAAAAATGTTATTGTCTCAAAGCTGGATTTGTTAAACTGTTTCTGTCACTTTTTCACTTCATGTTATGAGGTGTCAGAAAACAAAAAGTTTGATTGTCTGTTTGCGGCTGACAGGAGAGGCTCTGACACAAAGCAGCCTGCTAGAGGCAGACGGCGAGAATGGAGGTGGCATGGTCGCCATGACAACAGCCGTGGAGCCGATGAGTCTTCATCACGCGATGCTGAGATCACCAGGTGGGCATTTAAACACGCCACGGTACAGAGGGGAGAGAAACGGCTCGCAGTGTCCCGGTGACGTCAGAAATGCTAGTCAGCGTGTTTTGTTACAAATGTCTGGTTAGAAGTGTTTGTCAGCTCATGCTAGGAGGGRTTATTAACTCTTTTAGTGGCCTAGATCTCCTGCATGCATCAAGGTTTTAGTGATTGAACCGTCGGCCTTTGCTGCGTTTTTATTAGTGGCCCAAAAAAAGATGATTAGGTTAAATCAGTCAGGTGGTTTTTACTGCCACACGTCAGAATCTACGATGATGATGTAATTTTAATTATATATATTGTCAGGGTGCAACGGTACATGTGTTTGGAGCGAGGCTGCAAATACATTAGTCACAGGTGATCACAGTTAATTACATTTTGTCACTGGCACCACAGAAGAAGAAGATGCCGTGCTGCATTAAAGAAATGGTGTCTGGTTCAGAATAACCTGCAGAAACTTAAAGAGCTGCTTGTTTAGAATCAGGTTGTGGAAAAAACTCAGCTGATCAAGAACGGCTGCAGAGAGACGAGCATGTAGCTGTGCRGCAGGATTAGCACCTACAGGACAGGTGATTGTGTAAACACCTGTCCTTTCACACTGGGAGACGTTATTTAGTTTTGTTTTGACTTTTATTATGCGTCAAATTCGTTGAAGCAAACACTCCTTGGTTTTTGTTTTATATTATTTTATGTTTGATTGTATGTTGTTTTTTTTTTCACAGTCCAAGAGCGAGATCACTTTTTGGAGGTGTTTGGCACATGGCCTGTAGTTTCTGTCTAC